TATGCAAAGTCATTAAAATACCTTCCACACTACATTATCATTTCAGGCATTTCTAATTAATGACAAGGGCTTTATTTTTACTCACACACGAATTCCTTTGATCCAGTATTTTCCCTTTAGATCTTGATAATGTCTCATGCTTGTTCTTAGGTTCACTTTAAACAGCAGCATAACTTTCTCTTTGTTGGTGGTGGGGCAGGCTTCTGCTGCTGCATTAAAAATGTCAAGTCTTTTCTTTAGTATCATGGCCAGGGAGGAAAAAATGTAGAACCATAAAATCTTAAGATTTAGAGCTGGGAGGAATCAGAGAGATCATTTAGTCTAGTCCCTTCTCTTCCCCTTCCATTCAAAATATCATCTACCTACTATACCAAGACACAATACTAGGTACTTGAGATGAAAAGACAAAAAAAAAAAAGAAAAAGCCATCCCTGACCTCAGGGAGCTGACATTCTACTGGGGGAGAAACTAACATATACATATATAAGGAAATACAAATTTTTTTTAAAAAAATAGGTATAGCTATTTGTTTTTGCATGAATATATATAGTATTGTATATGTAGTATATATGTGTATATATATGCGTATATATACATATACACACACACACACATACATATAGTTATGGTTCAGTGGATAAAATGTTGGATTTGGAGTCAGAAAGTCCTGAGTTCAAATTTGATGTTAGACAATTACAAGCTATGTGACCCTGGGCAAATCATTTAACCTCTTTTTGCCTCAGTTTCCTCATCTGTAAAATGAAGATATTGATGGTACCTACCTCCTAGAGTTTTTGTGAGGATAAAATGAGATAATGTTCATAAAGTACTTTCCAAACTTTAAAGTGCTATGTTATTATATTATTATAGAGTGCTAGTTATATATATATATATATATATATATATATATATATTGTTTTTACAGATAAGGAAAATAGGGGCTAGAGAGACGAAATGACCTGCTTCAGCTAACCACAAACGGCAAGGGACAGGCTCTTCTCAATGACTTTCTTAGGTCAATTTATTTTAAATATTAACAGTGAGACAGACTAGATACAAACTAAATGTAGAGAAAACTGTATAATCTGGAGGAAGAAGCTCAGGCTGAAGCACAGGAGGAAAAAGATGAAGTAACGGTCCAAATAGCTCAACTGCGCTAAACTACAGAGATGACGGGAATAGAGATGCAGAATGCCAGCCCCCTGGCTACAGCCTCCAGAGATGTCAATCCTTTCCTTGACTATACCAGCCCTCCTACCTGTTCCAGAACTATTATCTCTACCTTAGGATGATATAAGACTCTTGACACCATTTGAAACCTTCCTGAAAAAGGACATTCTACTTTAATTTTTTTTCAGGTTGCAAAGCGCTTTTTTTAAAGAAAAGTTTTTATTGATAAATTATGTTTCTTACATTATCATAATAATCTTAAGTATCCCTCTTTCTTTCTCTCCCACAGAGCCATTCCATATAATACAATATTTTTTAGAGAGGAAAAAATCTCAACAAACTGATCAGTGCATTGAGAAATTTTGAAAACATGTGCAATATCTAACACCCATGGACCTCTGATGGACATTCTACTTTTAATGCAAAGTCTACTTACCTGAAATCAATTTGCTTACATTTACATGCCATGAACATTCAGGACTGATTGTTTGATTGTTTCTGAGTCCAGTAGTATTTATGTAATAAATCATCTTTCCTCTTTTTGGTTAAAAATGTAATTCAATTAAACAAACATTTATTAAGCACCTACTATGAACAAAACACTGTGCTAGGTGCTGGGGATAAAAGGGAAAAAAAAGAAACGGCCCCTGTCTTCAAAGAGCTTATATTCTACTGAATTCATACATAGTTGTAGGCTCATCACCTTGGTAATTAGGTAATGAACTTTTTCTAGCCACAGTAACTCATGAAACAGTTTTTAGAGTCAGAACATTGGCGTTAGAAGGCACCTTAAAGATCATCTAGCTTAATGCCCTCATTTTACAGATGAGGAAACTAAGGCCTGGAGAAAGGATGACACAGCAAGTAAATGACAAAGCCAGTATTCAAACCCAAGTTTGTTGATCTCAGCACAGGAGGAGGAGTGACATCCAGTTAGGCTGGAAAGGTATGTTGCAGCCAGGTTGTGTGTGCTTTAGAAGGTAATAGAGGATTTTTGTATTTTACTCAAGAGGCACTAGGAAGTCACTGGAGTTGGTTGCATAGGGGAGTTACATGGTCATATCTTCACTTAAGGAAAATTACTTTGGCAGCAGGGTGTCAGAGGTGACAATGGCCTTCCGGTTATTCCACGAATAAGACACTATAGTTCTCTGTCCCTCATGCCTGGAACACTCTCCCTCTTCTGTTCTGACTACCGACCTCCCTGGTTTCCTTTAAGTCCCAATTAAAATCCAACCTTCCACAGGAAGTTTTCCCCAACTCCTCTTAATTCCAGTGCCTTCCCTCATTAATTATTTCCTATTTATCTGGTATTTAGCTGGTCACACACACACACACACACACACACTTGTTTGTCCCATTAGATTGTAAACACCTTGAGGTTAGCCCGTCTTTTGCTTCTTTTTGTATCCCAGGTACTTAGTACAGTGCCTGGCATATAGTGGGCACCTAATAAATGTTTGTTGATTGGTTGATTGAGACAATTGAAATAGGGAGATTTAGATATGGAGAGCTTGTAGAATGCCTCTGGGAAGAAATGCAAAATTCAATCATGGATCTTTTGAAGTACTGATGGATAAGCATAACAATACATAGTAATTATCAATAATAATTGACATATGTATATATATTTAGAGAGAGAATGCTTTGTAAAATGCATTATATACCCTATCTCATTTGATCCTCATAACAGTCCTGTTTACAGCCAACATTGTGCTCATTTCATTAAGCCTCAGATTAATATTCCGCAATGAGACTGACAACCACTCAAAAAAGGTCAGCCTAGTAATTCATACAGGAAAAACCCAGTGAATGAAGAAGATATATTGTCTAGATTATGACACAGAGTGGGATTGGCAGCTCGTTGAAGTGTATCTTGGACAAGCACTGCAGTTGGACATTGATTCTGAGGAGGAGTAGGGGAGGGTGGCTGGATTGTATCTGGGGAATTGTGTAGCTCTTCCAATAATTCCATTTATTCCCTGGAACAGAGGCCCAGATTTTAAATAATAATTTTCTTATTGGCAATGTTCTATGGCTACAAATCATGGAACACCATGATTGCAGTGGCCTGAAAGGCAATGGAGAGGCACATGGTGGGAGCTGCTGGCTGTAGTGTGTTACCCATGACGATTTGTACAAAAGAACATAAACAATAGCATTAAGAAAATGTATGATTGGGGAAAAGAGGTGAATTGGTCAGGGAGGAAGATTGAGGGATAACAACAAATGGTCTCCTCCTTCCTTCCCCTAAGTATTGCCACGATATCCACAAAAGAAAGAACATTTGCTCTCTGGAATAAAAGAAATCTAGATTCAAAGCCTGTCTTTGATATCTACTACCTATGTTTCCTTGGGCAAATCATTAGACCTTTATGGACCTCAGTTTCCTCATTTGTAAAATGACTATTGTACTAGATGGCCCCTGAGGTCTCTTCCAGCTCTAAATCCATGATCCTATGATCTAACAGAATGTCATGGACATGCTAGGTAGATCCTTTATGAAGGATTTATGGGAGGACATGGACAAGAGTCATACTCAATGAGAAAGTGTGGATGAGTTGCTACCTACACACGTAGAGGGACAAATCATGGATCCAATGAAGGACCAAAATATAACAACCCAGAAAGACAGATAATGTAAATATTCTTATTCCTATCACACAATGAGGACCCTGGGTGAATGAGAGCAAAGTAGGTTCTACAAGCTGGAAATTCAACTTAATTAAAAAAGTATCTATTAAGCACTTATTATGAGCAAGGCACTGAGGATACAAAGACAAATGGAAACAGTCCCTGCCTTAAAGGAGCTAATTAACATTCTACAAAGGGCTGTATAAAACCATAAATTGAGGAAAAAGAGATTAGTAGCAAAGTGGGAGATGAAGCTTTGAGTAAGGCCAGCAAATAAATATTTGTCTGTAGCCTGTGGGCCAACCTAGTGCCCAGCTCATCACCAGGAAGATGGCCACTAAGTGACAATTCGTTTTTAGTTTCAGCAGCTCTTAAGGACATCTACTTAGGTATGGATGAAGTGACCACACAATGAAATCAAGGATCTTTAGAAGTAACAACTCCAGCAATGAACTCCTTGAGATCAGGGCCTGTTTTGGCCTTTCTTTGTAGCCCCAGCACTTTGTATGGTGCCTGGCATACGGCAGGTACTTAATGCTTGTTGACCATGACTTGACTACAGTACTGATAGAAGGGGCTAAGGACTACACCTGTGCCTTCATTGGTAGAAGAAACTACTACATGAGGAAATTCTGTCTGCAAATGCAGGTGGGCACCTTGTCTGTAACTTATAAACTAAACAACTTCTCCAGGGTGTCAGAGCCAGGACTTGGAACTCTGGTCTTCCTGGCCAGCTCCCTACTCCATGATAATACAAAGAAAGTTAAACAGGGACTATGGAGGTCAATAGCGTGGGGAGTGTGCTGGAGCCAATTACAACCAACTCTGGCAACAAATCAGTACTTGATTTATTGTTTAGACTTAAGAAAGTGATGGGGAAAATGTTAATAATGCAGATTAAACTTAAAGGTATATCTTGGGTACATTTTTTTAAGAAAGCCGGTGGTTAAACATTTACAAGCATACCCCTGATAGCAATCCAATAAATTACTGCAAATTTTGGGGCAGAAGGCTAGTTGGGAGTCATGATTTGGATGGGCCAGAGGACCATACCCTTCCAACTCCGCAATTCTATGTTTAGATGATAGAGGAGTGACATAAAATGGGCGACACAAGGGCCTGACTTGGTATAAAGGGGAGAAATATACCAACAAGGCACTCCAGGAAGCTTCCAGTTTCAAATTCAAAATGGCGACATGAAGCTCCTCCTCCTCCTTCACCGGTTTTCCCGCAACAACGCGTTTTCCGAGCAGCAGCCAGCAGGGAGTGGTGGGAAGAAGGTGCTGGGAAGTTGGGAATGGCGCTCGCGTGGCAGAGTGAGCGCGAGCCCGAGTCGCAGCGGCGCGCGCTCCCGCGCGTTGGATCTCCGCGGTGCTGCGGCGGGGAGAGCGCCGGAGGCGACAGCTGGGGGTGCGCACGCGCGCGCGCTTCTGCGGCTCTGCGGCTCTGCGGCTGCGCGGTGGGGGCGTGTTTAGTAGCGGGCGAAGCTGCAGCTGGGGTGCCGTACTTGTCGGTTAAGATGGCGGGCCGGGTGAGTGAGGGTCCGGGAGCGGGAGAGTCGAGGCAAGCTCTGGCCTCCGGGTACCCCACTCCCCTCCATAATGCTAGTCGTCCCAGGGGGCAGAAGTCGGGTAGGAACGGAGGGGGGATGGGAAGGAGGTGGCTCCAGGTAAAGCCAGGCGGTCGAGTAGGGAAGGGAGCGTGGGCTGGAGGAGCAATGATTGTGGGGAGGAAGGGGATGGAGCCCCTCGGGAGGTACGAGGCAGCAGAACCCCTCCTCTCCCCCCTCCCCCCACTCGGAGCTCCGTAGTCCCGCAGCCCTCTTCCTTGCAAACCGCGCAGTGGCCAGTGCTGGCTGCCTGACCAGCCCTTACTCTCCCCCGTCGACCCTACCGAGCTGCCCAGCCCCGGGGCCGGCTCTTCTCCATTCTGTGCGGGCCGCTGTGAGCCAGAGTGTGTGTGAGAGTGAGGTGCAGCACGGAGAAAGGCGGCCAGTTCTTGAAAGGGGGTGGTGGTGAGGATAGAATGACTCAGTATTAAAACCGTGGTTATGTGGGGGTGACCTGTCACTGTCATAGCTGGGCGGAAAGATGCTGGTACAGAATCTCATTTAGCTGGGTTTAGGTGGGGGTTGTTTTAATCAATGACAGCTGCTCAGAATGCAGCAGTCCAATTCCATGGATCAAAGCTTTTTCTTCTTACTTCCTCCTTTAACCTCTCTGAGAGTAGTATGGGAAGGGTTGGGTGAGGATGGGGCTGGGTTATGTGCTGAGTGTCTGCACTGCAGTATGCAATCTGTTAAAAGAATCCAGAGGGGATGGGCTGCATCTTGCTTAGAGACAGCACCTGCTGCAAACCTGGGTGATATTAACTTCGTCATTAGGGGCTTAAAGAGATGCTTTTCTGAGTTGCTACTTTTGCTAAGATATTTGAATGAATTATATACTAATGACTAGAAGGTACCTGTGTGCTTATCTATATTCCTCACCCCAGAATTAAAGGTCATAGAATCTTAGAACTGGAAGGCTCCTTAGAGGTCACCGTAGACTTATGCTTATGCAGTAATCCCTCTACAATCTCTCTGTTAGCGCTAGTGAAACACTGCCAATGCAGGGGAAACTCATTAGGTAACAAAGTAGCCTCTGCCATTCATTGTGTTGATCATTTCAGATTTTGTTAGGAAGCTCTAATTTATATTAATCTGAAAATTATCAACCTGAGTAGTTATAGTTTTGACTCTTTTGCCCTTTTTGTTCTTTGGAATCTCACAAAATAAATCTTAATCCCTTTTCCACATGATAGTTCATCAAACATTTGAAGAAAACGACCATGTCTCCTTAAGTTTTTTCTCAAAGAGGCTACACATCGCCATTTATTTCAAACCTTCCTCATTGACGTGATTGCAAAATACATAATAAACCTGATTATTCTTCTGTGTGTCACTTCCATTTTTATCATTGGCCCTCTTCAGGTGTATGACTGATACTGAACACAAAACCCTGGATATTGTGGCATCAATGCAGAGTACAGTGGGATTGTTATCGCCTTTAAACTGGGCACTATATTTTAATACTGCACTCTGTTTACATTAAGTAATTTTATGGCTGTGTCACGTGTTAGCTCACATTGTGTTCCTATAGACATAAAACTTTTGGTCTTTTTCACATGAATTACTGTTAAACCAAATTTCTCTCATCCTGAGTTTGTACAGGATTTTACATTCAATCAAAAAACCCTGTGGAAGAGACAAAGAAGAAAAAAAATACATGTGATCAGTAGTATACCCATTAAATTTGATAACATTAATTCAATTCTGTTGAGATATTTTTTAATTTTGATTCGGCAGGATAGCATTTTAGCTTCCCTCTCCGTGGTGTCGTCCACAGATTTGATAAGCACATCTTTTATTTTTAGCCACTTCGTTGGTAAGAGTGTTGACATTGGTCTATTAATCAACACTCTTTGAATATGTTGATTTTACAGGCTATGAACGAGCTCACATTTCTCCATTTTATTCCCGAGGATATCATGTTGTTAAGTGGAAAGAGTCCTGGTTACTTGTATGACCTTGGGCAAGTCACCTAACCTTTCTGGGCCTGAGTTTCCTCATCTATAAAATGAAGAGGTTAGGTTAGATGACATCAGGGCCATTACAGGTCTAAATTCATAATCCCATGAAATATTGTACTGAAATTAAAAAAAAAACTGTCTATGGTACATTCCTGATCTACTTGTGTAGTAAACAAACCTATTTAAAAGAATGCAATATTAGTTTGACATTACTTGTTCTTGATGAACCCATGTGGACTTGTAGTGGTCACCGTGGTGCAGGTCCTTATCACCTCATATGTGTAACTGAACATTTCAGTGACCTGGTGGTTGGTCTCCCTACCTCAGGTCTTTCCCCACTACAATCCAACCTGTACTTAGCTGTCAAACTAATCTCCTAAAATGCAGGTCTGACTGTATAACACCTCCCCCATCCCCCCTTCAGTAACTACAGTGGCACCCAGTTACCTATAGGATCAAATATAAAATCCTCTGCTTTTCTAAGCTCCTCATAACCTGGTTCCTCCTACCCTTCCAGTCTTCTCACACCTTATTCCCCTCCATTGAATCCAGTGACACGGACCTCTTTGCTGTTTCTTGAATAAAATATCCTATTTCCCAACTCTGAGCTGGCTGTCCCCTGTTGCCCGGGATATGCTTTCTCCTTATCTCTTCCTTTTAGTTTCTCTGACTTCCTTCAAATCTCAGCTGAAGTCCCATCTGTAAGAAGCCTTTCCCAGTCCTCCTCCATCTCAGTGCCTTCCCTCTGAGTATCCCCGGTTTATTCAGCATATGTTTTATTTGTACATAGTTGTCTATGTATGGCCCTCCCCCCTCCCACAATTCCCATTAGACTGGAGCTCCTTGAGAAAATGGATTACTTTTTTGCCTTTTTTTTTTTTTTGGTATCCCCAGTGCTTAGCACCCAATTCCTGGCACACAGTAGGTGCTTAATTAATGCTTAGCTGACTGGCCCCTTTCATACACCAAGAACATCTGCTTGATTAGCTATTTTGGAATTTTGTTAGGGAATTTTGCTGTCTAGGTTCTAGAATCTAATTTTAGTCTTCTGGTTCCTCTCTTTTTTTCATGATTTCTCAAAGATTTTTTCCTTGCTTGGATTTAGAGGCTTGTTATATACTCAGAATGGTTTTTATCTTTCTGATTTTTTCCTGTGTAGTGTTGAATTCTTTTTATTTGTTTGTTTGTGAGAATAGTATTTATATTCAGCATATAACTCCTTAAAACCATTTGAAATTCTTTGTATCTTTGATATCAGCCCTGCAGTAGAATACCTTGCATAGGGTTAGTTATAAAGATAATTTAGCTTTTGCCTTTTGTAGGTAACATCATCTTATCTATTCTCAGTTAAACTGGGAAATTTGCAAGAAAAAATAATTTGAAATATTTCTTATAGATTGATCAAGAAATAACTAAAATCTGAGAAGCAAGGAAAATTTACTTGTGAAAGAATATTTACAATGACATTTACTTTTACTAATGAATTTGTAATAGAATGATTTCACTATATATAGGAAAAAACTGAAAAGATAAATGAAAGTAACAGAACAATAGTCTTGTATGGTTTTCCTATTCCTTTGTTTACAGGCATCTAATGTATAAATGGTCCATGTGTACAAACATTTGTGCCGTCTCTGTTCCCCACTTTCTTTAAATTTGAAGCCCCTGCTTCTATTGCCTTGGGAAATGTTATGAAAATACATGAAGCTTTTAGAAAGGTTAGGGATAGGGACTAAGCCTGTAATTTCTTTAGTGTAAGAACTCTTGCTAGGAAATTCCTTTTCACAATATAGGTCAGCTCCTGCTCTTCAGAAGGTTGTATGCGGCCGCTGAGTGTTGAAGTGACTTGCCAAGGATGACATAGCCAGTATGTGTCTGAGGCAGGACCTGAACCTAGATCTTCCTGTTTTCAAGGCCATCTCTCTACCCACTGTTGGGACTGAATTCTAGACATGGCCAGTACCTACTTTAGAAATTCATTTAGCTTATTCCTGAATCCTCTTTTAAAAATCTAAATTGAGTGTTATGGGATCATTTATGTATTAGTGTTGATCTGTTTACAATGGATTCTTTTTTCTCTGTGCTTAGTTCTCCCCTGAGAGAATGGAAATTTTGATGGGGGGCAGAGAAGTGGATAATTCAGGGCTAATGAGCACTTTGTAGAGTAGACTAATTCTGAGTGCTTCCTTGGAGGGTTTAGGATTGATAAGCTAAGAGAAAGGAGTGCAGAGAAGGGGGAGTAGGGCAAAGACAGGGTCTACTTATTTCATCATTTTGTCTGGCTGCTGCACCCAGGAAAGAGAATAAAGAAAATTCATGTTCTCTTTCCTCCTATGCTCCTTATCCCCTGGACAAAGAACCCGTTAATAAATAGTACTCTTAGTGCTATGTAGTTCATTAACATTATGGGGTGACTATGAGTGGGAACTTGTGACATAATGGGTAGTGAGCTGGCCTTGAAGCCAAGAAGATCTGGGTTCAAGCCTTTCCTTTCATACGAACTGGTTGTATGACTCTGAGCATGTGACTTAACTTTTCTTAAAGGCAACATAAATTTGTTAAGTGCTTACTATATGCCAGGCATTGTGTTAAGTGCTGGGGATACAAATACAAGCAAAAAAATGTCCCCAAAGAACTTATTTTTAATGGGGGAAGACAGTACAGAAGAGAGCTGAAAGTAGGGGGACAGGGGAGGTGTCCAAATACAGAAAGTCAGAGGCAGAGCCAAGAGGGGAATAAAGGTTGACTGCCTTGGTTCCCTCAACAAGACGGAGGTCCCAGGAAGAACTCGCCAATGGGAGAAGGGGGTTGGCATGACACAGGGATATTTCTGAGTGAGGATACAGGGGAAGATAGGTGCTCTAGGATGAGGAGGTCCCAGGCACCGAGAAAAGTTTTAGCATGAGATTTCAGCTCTTGAGACATGGTGGCAAAGTCCAGAAAGTCAGAAGCAGTTCTAGG